TTCATCTGAGTGGTGCTGAGTTCGTGAAGTTCGAACGAAAGATTAGCACCGCTCAGTCCGGACCTGGGACGCGCTTCCAGCCACCCTCGGTAAAAACCGGGACCCAGTTGAGCCGTGTCGTAAGTTGCGTTGTAAAGGCTTAGAGGTTCTTAGGTAGATGGAGGCGGGTAGTGGGGCTGCAGACGACTGTGCGGTTTTTTGAGACTTTTTGACCTTTTGAGACTTTTCGACTTTTCGGGACTTTTTGACTTTTCGAGACTTTGAATTTTCGAGAAAAATTTGGAGAGCAAGTAGATCCAGCTCACACACTTAGCAACCACAGTTCCTTCCCTACCCTGGACAGGTGTCTAGCATAAGATGGTGCAAGTTCTATTCAAAAGCTAGCGCTCAGGACACACATCCAAACTAAAATTATGCAAATGCAGCTTGAAGAGGAAATTGATTGTCCTTTTCAACATTGCCATCGCACGCACACACACACACACGGTCACTCTTTTTCCAGTGTGTTTTCAAAGGTTCAAAGTTCACACTTAACTCATGACATGTTGATGTTCAGCACATTCATGAGGCACATCATCATGAATCATGTATCTCTTACAAGGATTCTTTTTGCACCACAGAAACACCATGAAACACGGTGACCCGTCACCAGCGCACGACTCGTGACCGGTGACCTCCAGGAACCCGTGGTGGAGTCGCCGGCGGTGCTTCTCTTGCAGCGCTTCGTGGCGGATGCGCATCCGAAACGCGAAGGCTTCGGCGTCAGCGGCGCTCTGAAGGTGGTGGGCCTTCTGGAGCGACGGAAGCGTGGAAGCGAAGCGATGCGTCGAGCGATGCGTCGGATGAGGGGAGGTTGGGTGGAAATTCCGTTCGACACGAGAGGAGAATTTGGATGACTTGAACATCCCGTCTGCGGTGAGGTGGGAGTTGGGACCAGAGAGTTGGGCTGAGTTGACACTAGTAACAAGATCCCCACCCCCTATCTCTACAAAACCGGGGGGGG